TTAGAATTAGCACTATTTGCTAATTTACTATTGCTTTCATAGTCCAATTTCTAGATATTGCGTGTTAAAATTGGTCCAACTGATGAATTTTCCTATTCGCGATGCATTAGGAAGTGGACATGCAAATTCTTATACATTAGGTTGACATTGATTGAATTAGCGAACATAAACTATTAACTCATCGGTTGATGACGAAATTGATTTCAGTCATTGCCCATTATCATCTTCTTCGCGTCGTTATGTTCAACATTCTATTATTTGGGTGTAGTGCAATGGTTTCTGCTGAAGATGGCCATCTGTTTGCAATACTCAATGGGCACAACTGCAGCTGAATCTCTCAACGCTGTTGCATCTGTATTCTTGGGACCGGTAACACATCTGTATTTGTAAAGACAGTCAACATTAAGCGCAGCGGTTCGCATAAGGAGTGAAATTACACATTTTGGATAAGTTGGAGGTGCCAAGGGGTAATGGAGGGGTTTGGGAAATTAGCATTTTGCGCAGTTGTTATGTCTAGAAGGGTTTTCATTTGTTTTCGTAAGGTTTTCATTCTTTTCCTTGCTGTTGCAATCGCTCTCATAACTTTTATCACCAAAAGTGTTCTCTTCTGCTAATTTCTCATTCATTTCACTGAATAATTAAAGTCAAATTCTCATTCTATCAAATACACTCTGTAATTGATCATTTGACAATCGGACGTTGTTGATATTGCTGTATTGTTGATTTCGTTTGTCAACACTCGTTAACGTATCCAGTAAATAGTATATGCAATAGAATAAGAATTTGATTCGAACTGTAAAGTGAAATGAGATGAAGTGAATGAGAAAAACTGATCAATAGAATGGTATTCGCATGTGATAGCGATGAGAGCGAATACAACACGTCCGAAAAGAATGAGAATTGATTTGCATCAGTTTCAAGTGTATGAGCGCGTCATAGACAATAGCTTTTCATGCAATCATAATCGATCACAATACTGAGGAACACAACGGTCTAATTGTAAGAGAAGGCCCAGCGATGTCGATTACCATCACGAACGTGCTAATAAGATTGAGCGTAACGGTCATCTGAACTTAACATGCGATTTCCATGTTTAATGGGGAGGAGGGGGTAACGGCAACCTGCTAGATCATCAAAATTGGTCATGAAGCACCCGAACGTGAGAACCACTGATTTAGAGATATCATCATCTGTATTTTTCATTTATTCGTTTTGCGTTTCTTGTTTTGAATTGAACGCAACAAACAATCTTCAATGATAGCCAAAAATTAGGAAATATCAAATTTTGAAAAAAAAAATTCATTTGAATGAATTAATTCAATTCAGACTGAAGCTGCTGTAATGATGCGTCAATCGCTCAAATCGATGACGGAAAGTGAAATCATGGCAACATTGACGGCCGGTTAGGGCTTCATATATTTTAATTCAGTGAAACATTATCAATAGAATTCTTCTCGAGACTTCAATAATCAGTCGCTTTATTCAATGCAACTCTGAATATCAGTATTACCAACTGATATCATCAGTGCTTCATCTTTAACGCTGATAATTTACTTCGAAACATTCAGCATGATTTGAATAACTCATGAAAGAACGCTGCTTGTGGAAGTAAATATGATCTTTATAGGCTTTGCAATGATCTCTGGATCACTGTTCGCCATATACATATCGTTTGGTGCATGCCCGTCCTACTTACTCGCCTCGAACCTCATGTCCGCACCAGCAGTGCTGGCAGTCTCAAAAATTATGCAACCTGAAATTCAACGATCATTGCAAAAGAATATAAACGACTTCCGATTTCCACCAGCGTAAGCGATCATAAATACTTTAGTGATTCGCTGCCAGTTTTTTCGAGTTTCCGATTGAATACCTTCAATACCTATCAAATTACAATGGTCGTATTGCTCTCCCTCTCATGCGATGAAGATATCATTATTGAATAATGAATTAGATTCGAGTAAAATGTTTATTTGTTCCTATTGAATTCGAATTTGCTAATTAAAAGTATTGAAAAGATGTTGGAACGAGGAACTATCGTGGTGATCCGTTGCTAATCACATAAATCTAACTGGTCATTTGGCATTTGAAATGAATGAGAAAAGTATTGTCTAGTTGAAGTGAGGAGAACACACTGCTGGAGGCGTTATCCCACGGTGCCGTTCAAGCAGTGCCGGTCATATTCGCGATCATCTCGAATCTTATCGTATTTCTCGCGTTCGTCACTTTCGCCGATACACTCATCGGATTCTTCGCCAGTTTGATCGGATACGAAGGAATCACTTTCAATGTAAGTGTCATCGTTTACGAGTCGATTGCAACCATTGATTCATAGTAATTATCAACATTTAATCAACTAGAACAGAATTTTGGCATCCATTGAATTTCCGCGTCAACATTGAACGAATCACGAAAAGACTGGTAGATAGGACTGTTAGATGAGTGATGAGTGAGTGTATGGTTGAAGAGTATTACACAAATGAAATGCGATACGAAATGAAACAGACAATAGCTTTTCAATTGAAAATTGCAAAAAAGTTAGCAGCATTTCAATTGAGTATTAACTGGCGGATTGTTCAATGAATCAAAACCATATGAAAGGAATTAAAACAAAGGTGATGAGGACGATGCTCCTTGTTCATTCATCTCACTTTCAGAGGATGAATTGATGATAGCAATCAAGAAAGCCATTAATTCAATAATGATACTGATAATAGGCATATTGCGTAATGCCAGCACATTGCACCCTTCAGATGTTGCTCGGTTATATGTTCTACCCACTCGCATACGTGATGGGTGTATCGGATGCAAACGATCCCGAAAGGCGCAACGAAGAAATCATTCGTGTGGCACAACTTATTGGCACAAAAACATTGCTGAACGAATTTATTGCGTATCAACAAATGTCTGAAATGTTACGACGTAACCAACTCGGGGTATTCACTCTTAGCTCCATTCGGACGAAATAATTCCACTCAATATCCTTACCTGATTTTTTCACAAACTTCTTCTGCGTAGCTCTCATTTTTTGGTGAATTCCAAACCATTTTGAGTTGTACTGAGTAATCTGATGAACTATCTGTGATCACCTTACTCAAAATCAGCAAATATTCAAAATTCGTTCATGATCGATGACAGATCGATCAAATGATCTGACTCATTCTGAGCATGAAAATTATTAGTGATGATTGATAGGAAGTTGATATGAGCTAAATTGTGTGAGCCATATAATTATGGTTAAATTAATGCTGAGCTTGTTCAGAATTGAACGAAAGGAGTTGCAAAAGTTTAGTGCCCTAGAAACAGGAGATTAGCATTGTTTTGCTGAAGAAACTTGACTCACGCTTTAACAGCATGATAAGAACATTAAGAATTTGAGGGTCGTGCCCAAATGATGGCCGTATTCGCTTGCTGTGGCTATTCGAACGCCTCGCAGATTGGTTCCCAGTTGGGAATATTCAGTGCAATGGCTCCGTCGAGACGTCGTTCGTTTGCTCGTCTTGCGGTACGATCTTTAGTCGCTGGTAGTATTGCTTGCTTCATGACCGCCGTTGTCGCTGGTAATTACTCTTTGAATTCTCCTTATACTGAAGTGGAAAATTTTACGGTCTTCTTCTTGCTACCTATTTGAACATTCGTCCGCTTCCAGGCTAGTCGCAACTGACATTATAGCGATAGTTACCTTGGTAGGTGGTAACTTTACGATTCTGTTACAATTTAGAGCATTGCTTTTGCTCGGAGTCCATGCGCTTATGCTAAACTAACGATTTTCTAACATTCGCATCGAAAGTCTAGTGAATAGCTGATGAAGTTTTCATTTTGTACGGTCAATACAATGATATTTGAAGCATCTTGTTAGCGGATTACTCATCACAAGTTTGTGATCATTGCAGAAAAATTATGATGACACCATGTGGTTTCCTCTTAGTCATAATTAATACTTTGAGCATAACAAGCTTTACTGCGGTACAAAAACGTTCAAGCTGGCTCGCCAATTAGCTTTTACAATCACAGAATATCCAATTAGCCGGTGGCATGATGATTC